AGCAACAGATAGTGAACGCCAACCGCATGAAAGAGGATAATCACCGCCAGAAGCAGACCATCGAGACGCAGGTCACCAACATTAAGAAGACCATTAAAGCCAATCAGGACGTCGACGACCCGATGGCTGATTGCGTCAACTCTTCGCCGAGAGATCAACGGGACGTCGGCTTCGAGAAGATGAAGCGCAACGCCGCCAAAGGCAAGGGTCTGCGCGGGTCGGGCGCCAAGTTCTGGAAGCGAGACAACTGATCCCAACCATTGATCACAACAACAACAAACCCATCGACTTCTTGTACACACTATTGTATAATTAGCGCTCGTTTTTCGCGTGACTATTGTTTTTTGTAACTAAAGAATTGAACTTTTAATTTATAATACAATTTTAAAATACAAATTAAAAACACAATTAATTATAAACAGTCATTCAGTTTCAGCGCTTTTTTGCCCGCTTTTTGGTCACGGGTTTCGTGAACAGCTGTCCGCCGAACTCACTCGTCCTCATCTCCGTCGGCATCGGTCGGTGCCTTTTGCGGGCCGATTGGCCGCCGCCACCACCACCAGCGCCCTCATCGTCACTATCGGGATATACACCATCGGCGCCGCCACTCCTCTTGAAGTTGTGCTCAACTCTCTGGTTGTAATGATTGTATTTGTGCTGCAAATCGATGCTCTGCTGCTTCAGACGGAACCCGTAGGCGCCCAACACTTTGGGCGACTCCTGGAGCGCAAAACTTTTGGCCAAATGTCCCAAATGTAACGATCGGAAGGGCAACTCCTCTGTGATGGCCTTCGGGTACGTGGCGTACGACCGGATGTACGACAGGTACGCCCTCTTAGCCAACGCCATGAGGTCCGAGTCGTTGGTTAAGGCGGTTTCGTAACACGTCTGCAGTTCTGTGGCGTATTCCTCTTCGGTAAACACCTGGCGATTGAACTTCAAAAACATCAATACTTTGAGACACGTCTTGAGCGGCATTTCCGACAGATTTATGTTCAAGTCTTTCTGCAATAACTCCAAGAACTTGGTCTCTGTGTTCAACACAAACTGCACGGCGTTTCCCGACTTTCCGATGCGCGCCGTTCGGCCCACTCTATGGACATAGTCTTCGGGCTTTGGGGCGCAACTGAACTGAACGATCCAGTCGACGGCCGGCACGTCCAGACCCCTGGCCGCCACATCCGTGCACAACAGGACACCACTCTTGACGCTCCGGAACTCCCCGAACACCTGTCGTCTCTTCGACTGATCCATGTTTCCGTGCAATTGATAAAAGTTAATACATTTTTGTCCGCTTCTGGACAACACTTTGTTGAAGACGTTCGTGAAGATCACGTGATGAAAGTCGACGACATCCTGACTCTGCATGAATACCAGTGCCTTCGACTCGGACAGCGAGCACTTATCCATCAGCAGCGCCGACAGTGTGATGAGCCGGAGCTTCGGCGCCACCACCACATAGTGTTGCGTCAGATTCTCGGGCAATACGTACGAACTCAGGCACCGGTCGCTACTGATGTCGATCACCTGCGGCTCGTTGAGACTCATACCGGCCAAGCGCTCGACCCCCGGGGTCAACGTCGCCGAGAGTAACACCGTTTGCGGCCTAACTGTGCACACGCTGTAGAGGTGGTCCATAACCTTCTTGACCGACTCCTCAAAGCCGGCCTCCAATAGCCGGTCCGCCTCGTCCACGACGAACCACTTGACACGGTTTAGGCGCAGATTACCGGTGCTCTGCATGTGATCCAACAACCGGCCGGGCGTTGTCACCAAAATGTTGATCCCTTTCCTGATGCGCGCCTTTTCCGACTTCTTCTTCTCGCCGCCGCACAGATAGCCAGTGACGAGCCGTTTGAACGACTGGCACAACACGGAGAAGCACTCGTAGCACTGGAGGGCCAGCTCACGGGTGGGCACAATCACGAGGGCGTGGACGCCGTCACTGCGACCGATCGGCGGCGCCAGTGATTGCAAGTCCTGTACCACAGGAACGGCAAACGCCAACGTCTTGCCGGAGCCGGTCATCGATTTGATCAGCGCGTCCGAGCCGGACATCAGCGCCGGTATGGAGTTCTGCTGGACGGATGTGGTCTCACTGATGGACAGCCTATCGCTCAGACACTTCACTAAATACGGGTGTAATGAGAGTTCGCTGTAGTTGTGCG